GTAAGTCTTACTTTAACCATCTTCATTCTGGAAAATACTTTATTATTATAAGAATAATACTTTTAATGTTTAGCCGTAAGTCTTTTTTTGACATACGGCCATTGAAAGGATAACCCATAGGTTTGTCTTGAGTGAACCTAATCATGTTTCTGAACATTATAAGGGTACAAAATACATTGTAGTAGAATAAAAATATAATTATATACATGAATATAATGTCATTTGGCTTTATCATTCTGAGTTTTTTTGTGGATGAGAAGGTCTACCACTTGTGTGCCAAGCTTAAAATTTCAGAGAAAAGTGGTGAAACAGTCCAAGTCTGTATTTTAATCTTTATTAAAAACTTATCCTGAGACCACATCTCAAGGTATTTTGAAATTATAGAAATTGTAAAGTGAGCTGTGATTCTGTAGTTTACCTATGGGTGAGATTAACCTGGATATATACATCTCTTACCATTCACTGTTGGAGGGTAGTGCAAAGCCTACCTACCTTCCTGGTTTTGTTGGTTACTTTCACGTTTTTTAGATTCCAGTACAGATTGTACAAACCTTTTAGAATTTGGAGATGTTACTACTATATAATATCCTCTAATATTGAAGGTACTAATAAAATAATAGAGTTCTTTTGAATTCTTTAGGTAATAATTTTAACGTTTCATTCTTCTACTATGTATGTATTTTCACTAATCCCATTGCTTAATTTTTTTTTTACAGCCAGATAGTACTTGATTTTACTTTAGAATACATATATCACTTCTTAACATTTTTTTGTTTCAGGTATTTACTTGACAGGTCAGAGAAATGGAATCTATCTCTAAGAAAACCATATTTAAATAACTATGAATATATTAATAATTTAGTCCTTAACTATGCATACACAAAAGTGATTTTCTGTTAGAACAGATGGAAGAAATTCTTTTTAAGTAAGTTACAAACTGTTGTCCCCATTCTTGGATTAAAATTAAAATGACCACAAATGTAGACAATGTTTGAAAGTGGAAAACTTATACTTTTGGACTGATGCCATTTTTTTTTACCCATTGATTTACTTAGAGGGTAATGTTATGCAAATGAGAAAGCGGGTACAAGAGGTACATGCTATTTTTAGTGGAGGGAAAAGTAACTTTCATAAATTGTTCCATGATTAGTTTTCTGTATTTCCTGGTTTGACAGAAGAAAAGATAAGACTGACAGAATCTTATCTATTTAATTTATTCAAGATGAATTGTACTTAAATGAGCATCTGTATGTGGAAACATATATTTTGTCTTTTATTATAGTTTTAGAGCTGTGTTCTAATTGTCTTCTATTATTAAATAATTTGATAATGTAATAAAATTCATTTTGAAGAGCCGTACTTAACACATGTTCTACATTTGCAAACGTAATCTAATTATGATTAATTTCCCACATAACTATTTTAAGAAATTGATCAAAAGAATATGTAATTCACATTATCTTTTGATACTTATTAAAATATACCAAAGTTATGTCTTATTTCCATTAGAGGTATTAACTCAGTTTGTGGGATTTGATTATTTAAATGTTGAAATGATTATGGCATTGCTATAGGAATTTAGAAAAACTTCCCCAGAGAGTTCAAAAATGAAGTCTGAAAAAAAAAGTGTGATTTAAAAAATGAAATATTTTTTCTGCTCCTACAAATGTACTAATCTTGATTTAATTCTTTCCTTTAATATGCTAATTCTGCCACAAGTCGTCGTCCCCCCCTTGGGTACTCTATAAAGTTCCTTGCCTCTGTTGAGAACAATTTGGAATACACTTCTCACCTGTCCTCTCTTAAGTCAGGTATTTATTAGATAAAACTTGAAAGGGAAAAGATTTTTTTTACTTTATCGATGGGAGATGAGGATGAGGCATACTTGAACTGCCTATATATTCCTCTCACTGGTTGCTGAACTTGTTTTCTGGTTAATTTCATCATTCCCTTTACTTTTCTCAATCCTTGATTATATTATTAATCTCAGTGCTTCCTTTTCAAACCCAGTTCTTTGTAATCTCTCTCACATTGCAACAATTAGAATAGAAACGACACTTGCTAGAGCAGAGAATTGGACACAATTAGCTTTTCTTCATTAGATGTCTGGGTGATGTTGGCTGCCACTGCTACCCAGTCCCCTTCACTACCGTATAGTCAAGAACATCCCGAGAGAATTCGAGACAAGTAGAATGAATAAGAAAGTAGATGCTCGTATATAACTTCTTTATAAAACCTCAGCTAATAATACCTGGTAAGCAACATTATATGATCTTTAAAGTTATTTTGTTTGTTTGTTTTTTAATCTTAATGTGTTGCCTTTTTAAATGCCAGTACTGCTGGAAAGAGTATGAGATAGCTACATGCTTCTCTTAGTCCCATTTTTATCTGGCCTTCCTGACTCCAGTTCTTCTAATATGGTTCTGTAGCTTTAAAATTTTAGTGAGCATCATATGTCTTGAGGTCTAAAAGATCAAGTCTTCAGTATGCTTGAATAGACTATCTCTGGAAGGGTATATAAGAATTATGACAGTAGTTGCCAAAGGGTGGGGAAGAGGTGATTACTGAGACAGACATAAAAGAAAGGCTTACTTTTGACCATGTAAACATTTGAATTTTCTATCATGTCTATGTACTACTAATTTAAAAATTATATTAAAATAGAATTCACTTGGGTGAGGGAGGGCGCTAGAGAAGAAAACCAGTCCTGTCTGACTCCACAGCCTTCTGTTTTTTTATTGCACTGTGTTTTAACCATGTTTACCTTTAGCTGGTTGTATGAGCTTGAATAAGTAATTTATTCACTTTAGGCCCTAGATATATTAGCCTTTATTTTTAAAAGTAGACTCAAAGCAATAAGGAAGAAAATGCAAAATAATCATTAGATTTCTGTTTGTATAGGCTAAAAACTTTATTTATGTAGTACTTTAGTAATATCCCTACCATGCGTCTGTCTGTACTGTGGTGGCTAGCATGTTGCTATGATGCTGGAAGCTATGCCACCGGTGTTTCAAATACCAGCAGGGTCACCCATGGTGGACAGGTTTCAGCGGAGCTTACAGACTAAGATAGACTAAGAAGGACCTGGTGGTCTACTTCTGAAAAAATTGGCCAGTGAAAACCTTAAGAATAGCAGCGGAACATTGTCTGTTATAGTGCCAGAAGGTGAGTCCCGCAGGGTGGAAGGCATTCAAAATATGACTGGGGAAGAGCTGCCTCCTCAAAGTATGAAGTGGATGGAGTCAAGCTTTCGGGACCTTCATTTGCTGATGTAGCATGACTCAAAATGCGATTAACATCCATTAATAATCAGAACATGGAATGTGCAGAGTATGAATCTGGGAAAATTGGAAGTTGTCGAAAATGGAACGCAGAAATATCTATATCCTAGGCATTAGTGAGCTGAAATGGACTGGCATTGGCCATTTTGAATCGGACAATCGTATGGTCTTCTATGCCAGGAATGACAAATCGAAGAGGACAGGCATTGCATTCATAGTCCAAAAGAACTTTTCAAGATCTATCCTAAAGTACAGTGCTGTCAGTAATACAATAATATCCATACACCTACAAAGAAGACCAGTTACTACAATTATTATTCAGATTTACACACAAACCACTAATGCCAAAGATGAGGAAATTGAAGATTTTTACCAACTTCTGCAGTCCGAAATTCATCAAACATGCAATCATGATGCATTGATAATTATTGGTGATTGGAATGCAGAAGTTGGGAACGAAGAAGAAGGATCAGTAGTTGGAAAATATGGCTTTGGTGATAGAAACGATGCCTAAGATCGCAGGATAGAATTTTGCAAGACCAACGACTTCTTCATTGCAAATACCTTTTTTCAACAACATAAATGGAGACTATACATGTGGACCTCACCAGATGGAAAACATGGAAATCAAATCAACTACATCTGTGGAAAGAGATAATGGAAAAGCTCAATATCGTCAGTCAAAACAAGGCCAGGGGACGATTTCAAAACATACCATCCATTGCTCATATGCAGGTTCAAGTTGAAACTGAAAAAAATTAAATCAAGTCCACGAAAGCCAAATTACTATCTTGAGTATATCCCACTTGGATTTAGAGACCATTTCAAGAATAGATTTGATGCACTGAACACTAATGACCAAATACCAGACAAGTTGTTGGATGACATCAAGGATATCATACATAAAGAAAGCCAAAGGTCATTAAAGAGACAGGAGAGAAAGAAAAGACCAAAATGGATGTCAGAAGAGACTCTGAAACTTGCTCTTGAACGTAGAGTAGCTAAACCGAACGGATGAAATGATCACGTAAAAGAGTTGAACAGAAGATTTCAAAGGGTGGCTTGAGAAGACCAAGTAAACTATTATAATGAAATGTGGAAAGACCTGGAATTAGAAAACAAAAAGGAAAGAACACATTCAACATTTCTCAAGCTGAAAGAACTGAAGAAAAAGTTCAGGCTTCAAGTTGCAATTTTGAAGGATTCTATGGGCAAAATGGAAACCCTGGTGGCATAGTGGTTGAGAGCTTGGCTGCCAATCAGAAGATGGGCAGAATCCAGCAGGTGCTCCTTGGAAACCCTATGTGGCAGTTGTACTCTGCCCTATAGGATCACTATGAGTTGGAATCGACCCAGCAGCAGTGGATTTGTTTTTTTTTTTTTATAGGCAAGATATTGAATGACACAGGAAGCATCAAAAGAAGATGGAAAGATTTCAGAGAGTCACTGTACCAGAAAGAATTGGTCAGCATTCACCCATTTCAGGGGCTAGCATACGATTAAGAGCCAATGGTATTACAAGAAGAATTCCGAGCTATACTGAAGATATTGGTGAAAAACAAGCCTCCAGGAATTGATGGAATACCAATTGAGATGTTTTCAGCAAATGGCTGCAGTGCTGGAGGTGCTCACTCGTCTATGCCAAGAAATTTGGAAAACAGCTACCTGGCCAACCAACTGGAAAGGATCCATATTTGTGCCCGTTCCAAAGAAAGATGA